TTCTGTGTCCCTCCTTCCTTACTTCAAGCCACGCCCTTCAGATCCCTACCTTTCATCTAATGAATCCATGCGTTTATGGAACCTTGGTCCTGTTCCATTAGCACTCTCCGCCCTGGTATGGTCCTCTAGAAGTCCCTCTGAGGCAGTGTTTGTGGCGTTGTCGCGCTCACTACCGGTACGTCGGTCGCGGTTGTGGTGCTCACGGCTCCTCCTGTGTCTGTGCCGCTGCTGCAACAAGAAAAACATTCCAGAAATCAAATCCTAGGCACAAGCCTTTTAAGACGATGCTCAGAGAGAGTGGCAAACAGATTTGTGGCACACACACACTCATTTCCTGCAAAACAAAATGAAACAAAATGAAGCTTAAGTAAACACTGAAATTAATATAAATACACATTTCTTTCACTTTCTTTCTTTTCACTTTTCCTTGTTTACTTTATGTCATAATATTAATTCAAATCCTTGCTGATATTCTGACAAATACAGAAATACAAGTACTCTTCATTCCCCTTTTAATGAGGAAATACATGTAGAGTGGCTAGCATGACTATTTGGACGATGTCAAAGAAAAGAGAGGAACATGTCAACGAAAACATATTTCAGGAGTCCTTTAATTAGAGGACTGGCTCTCCAGATGGGGTGTAAGGAGAGAAGGCAACGAAAGCACACCGTTAATCTTTCCCAAAGCACAGGTGGCTGTGGATAAAACAAATCATGTAGGGAATCAAGGATAAAGGATGCAACAGTAACTGTGAAGTGAAAAACTGCAACGATAAGTGGGGGGGCTAGAGTCTCTCAAACCCAATACTGTGCTAACAATTTGCTATATTGATTTACTGTGTAACCGGGAGTAGCACAACTTTGATTAAATCAAAAACATTGGTTTTACATGGAAAATATGGATTGAAAATACTCCCTTGTTGGTTTATTTCAAACAGAGAGTATGCAGTTCAGCAGTGTGGAATAGAACATTTTGTAGGGGAGCCGTGCAGTGGCAAATGCTACATGTACATGTACATGCTTGGAATCAGATATCAAAGACCTGACATTGTCTGGCTATAGGTAAACGAAGTTGATCTACAGTATGAATGGACCATAATAAAGAAATTAATGTGCCTATGATGTACTCAGTGTGTACTCACTGCCTTCTCAAGGCAAATGAGAAAATGTAGGATTTTGGAAGCATTATCCAGAACTGCAAGACTTGTCTTTTCCATGCTGCCAGTGAGCTTGAAATAATACATGTAACTTGCTAGTTAGATAATCCAACCCCAAAACTGTCCCCTCTTCCATCAAAATGGGTCAAAAGGTGACATTGTACATTCAACCAATGGCACATTCTTTGTGGTTGGCACAAGTAATTCTACATACTGGTACAAACAG